CCCCGGCAGACGGCTGCTGCCTCGCGCTGCCCCCGGGGTGCTGGGTCCCACCTCCTCCGTGTGTCCTCTGAGAGCAGTCCTCTGTGGGTGCTGCGCTTTGGGGGGCCCTGGTGGTGGGCAGGCAGGCAGAGTTCGGCAAGGGGGGGCAGAGCACGAGCGTGCCTGCTCCTTCCTTCTGCCAAGGCTTGCAGCCCATTCAGGAATCGACCCCTTTTTCTGTTCTTTCCCCAGCTCACTCCTTCCTCCTTCCTGCGCATCGGGCAGCTGAGCAATGTGGACCTCAACGAGGACGTCCGTGAGCTGGTGAGTAGCACAGAAAGGGGCCGCGCCGTTACTGAGACCGCTTCCCTTCTTCCACTAACGGCTGCTTTTGTTCCCCCTTTCACATCCCGTTTGTCCCATGAGGGCTCCAGGGCTCCCTCCTGGGCTGGGTGACCTTTGTGGTGTGGGCAGCTGCCTGCTGCTCTGCCTTGACCCTGGCTCCTTCCCCTTAGCCGCAGCTCTGGCCCAAGGAGGTTGCGGTCCCCTGCGCAGGGACCTTCCTCCCATGGGAGTAGACGCAGAAGCAAGAGGAGTGGGAAGGGATTTCTTCCTTGTTGCCGTGAAAGCTCCTTGTAGCTGCTTCTCCTGCCTGCTGCCCCGCTCAGCGCGAAGGCAGGCGAGGGGACGTCTCAGCCCTGGGACAGGGCTAGCAGCAGACAGGACGTCTTGCAAAAACTCTCAGGTTTCAAGTTATTCTCGGCCACGCACACCAGAAAAGCTTTTCTTCCTCAGATGCTCCTGCCTCAGCTGTGGAGCTGTAGGAAGGGCAAATGAGAAGACAGCTTTTGCTAAATATTTCTTGTGGAATTCTTAAATGGGAAGAAATATGTCTTAATCTGGCACCTCAGAGGCGAGGCTGGGCTGGCTTTGGCCGTAGCTATGATGTGGGGCTGGGGAAGGGTGCAGGGTGCCACCGTCCCGGTGGCCCCTCTGGCATCCACGGTAAATGCCCTAATTCGGAGCTGGGAGCAGCTTGCGCGGTTGAAAGGCATTTGGGAAGCAGAATTTGGTTTCCGCCCAAAAACGTGGGCCTGCTTGAAATAGCTCCTTGCTTTCGGCCAAAGGAATTTCCTGCCAAGGTGGAAGGTTGCCCTCCGCCAGAGCACGGAGTCGCTCGGAGGTGACACCGGATCAACATGGCAGCGTGGTACCCGACTGGGGCAAACCCCCCGTCTGCTCGTGGGGAAACGTCCTGCCTGGGGCTGGAGAGGCGGTGGGCGAGGGTGCATGCCTGACGGCCTGTTCCAGCTGCCTTGAATCCCATACATCCACCAACCGGTGGAATATCCTCCTGGATCCCATCCTGCCAGGCGGCTTGCACTGGGGCTTGGGTCTCTGCAGTCCTCCCCACCTCTCCTGAGCGTGAAAACCGGCATTAAACCAGCAGTTACGTCGCAGAGAGGAGGGTTGGGCTCAGACCTGGCCTTCCTAACCCGTGCGTCACGTCCCGCAGGAGACGGAGCTCCCTCGGCAGCATCCCAACGAGATCCCCCACAACGAGAAGCTCCTGTCGCTCAAGTACGAGGTGAGTGCCCACCTCCCTCCCTTGGTTCTGCCCTCTGGGATGCAGCGGGTGAGGTACATGGGGCGAGGTCTTGTGGCTGCCCAGCTAGAGAGCTTTCAGCAGGGAAGGAATGGGATCAAGGGAGGTAAGAGGTGCAGGGGTGTGGAGGGGCAGGGGTGAGGGTCTGAGGCCAGCCCTCCCTGGCATGGGCATCTCTTCCCCTGCACTAGATGATAACAGCATCTCCTTTTCCTCAACTAGAGCCTGGACTATGACAACAGCGAAAACCAGCTGTTCCTGGAGGAGGAGAGGAGGATAAACCACACGGTGAGTCTCGCCGTGACCTGCCTGCCCACCGTCCGCGCAGCCAGGATGCCCCGTTGCCCCCGCGCCCAGCTGCTGGGGGCTCCTCCATGCTGGGGGAGGTCGTGCTCAAAGCAGCGCTTGAGCTGGGGTGGGTTTATGGGCACTGACCAGCTTGTGACAAGCTGTAAAACCTCAGGAGCAAGGACCCAGCGTAGGAAGGTTCGAACAAGAGCTAGCCTGGGTGTGCGTGGTGGTATTGCCAGGCAGCACAGGGCAGGTTCCTGAGCAGAGAGACTTCGGGAGCCATGTGAAGCATCTGCCCTGGGGACTTTGGGAGTCAGTGCCACAGCAAGAAGCCCAACAGGAGGGGCCTGACGGAGGCAAGTGAGGTGGAAAAGCACATCTGCCGTTAAGGATCCCACAGAGGGGCTTAAAATAAGTAAATTGTGGCCATGCTTTGCAATCCCGGGTCAGCCGGTGTCATTTTTACCTGGGTGACTCTCCTTGGAGCCTGTGGCTTAGGGCTGTGTTGGGGAAGATGGCCAGGTGGGTTGGACGTCCCCTCCGATGCTGGCAGGGGCCGGGCTGGGTGGCAGCAGGCTCTGATGGATGTCTGTCCCTCAGGCTTTCCGGACAGTGGAGATCAAGCGCTGGGTTATTTGTGCCATGATTGGCATCCTCACCGGCCTCGTTGCCTGCTTCATCGACATCGTGGTGGAGAACCTGGCTGGGCTGAAGTACCGGGTGGTGAAGGGCAGTATCCTCCCACGGAGCCGTGGCCACCAGCCAGCCCAGAGCTGTGCGATCTCCGCTCCCGGTAGCCACGAGAGGGGTGCCGTGGGAGAGGGCAGTGCTTCCTCGCCTGGGTCCGGCGGTACAGACCCTGCCACCCAAGGTGCTGTGGAGTGCCCGGCTGCTCTGCGGTGCTGAGCTGCGGCCGGGCGCTGCTTTAAAAGAGGAGGCTCCTTGCGGCAGCCCAGGCTGTGCACAAAATCTGCTGCACCACCACAGTCCAAGAAGCATTTTAGCGATGCGCTCTTGTGGTGGGAGGGATGGTACCCAAGCAATACTGGCCTTTCCTTGAGCTGCCTCCCCAGACATCGACAAGTTCACGGAGAAAGGGGGCCTGTCTTTCTCCCTGTTGCTCTGGGCTACCCTGAACGCCAGCGTGGTGATGGTGGGCTCCGTGATCGTTGCCTTCATAGAGGTAAGAGTTTGGAAGTGGCCTGGGTAGGGTACCCCGTGCTTCCTGCGCTGGCTCTTTACCTGGGGGAAGCAGGATCATGTCTCCAGAAAACGTGCAAACTTGTGTAACAGCAACTGTATTTCTGCCAGGTTGGCTCTTGGTAGCCCCAGTTCCTTGGTGTTCGCTCCAGCTGTGCTGTCGAGTTTCTGCTGGGGTGTCAGACCGGCAGGACGTGCTGCCCGTTGCTGGCAGCCTGGGGCAGAGCGTGTGCTCTGGCTTTGGGCGCGGGCGCAGCTCTCGCAAGCCTTGGCCCCGGCTCAGCCTCTCCGCGTTGGGCGTACGTGAGCGCCCGCAGAGAGCGGC